ACACAATGAGATGCTTATGTCAATGATAAAAAAAAGTCACTGACATCCCCCCATTAAAGTTTTTCAATCTTTTTCTTTTGACGCGCGTTTGAATTTTTCTGATCTCATTATTATTATTATTGTTTTTGTTTTTTCAGTGACAGAAGCATAAATCTGTATGATTTGCGTAAGGCTACCCCATTAAGGAAATTGATAATGCAGGTAATGATCTCTTATCTATTATCATTAAGATTAATTACCGAACATATTTATATTTTGGCATATCTTATTACCAATTTTATTATTAGATTATTAGTTTGTTAGTTATTTTTCCCATCTGCTTAATTCATAACGTTTTTTTTCCCTATATCTTTTAATCTTTATTCTTAATCTATTCGTGACTATACTAACTTATATCCATGTGACAGACCAAAACCAATTCTATAGCTTGGAACCCGATGGAACCCTTAAATTTTACAGTTGTAAGTTCGTCTAATCGATTTGAGCAATGTGTCTGAAGCTATTATTCTTTACAGTTTTCGTAGTCATATTTCAAAATCAAGTTTTTAGTGATATTTCAATTCTTATGGACATATTTCATTGGCATGCAGGCAAATGAAGATGGTTGCTGCTATAGTTATGATCTCAGGAATTTGGATATAGCCAAATATGTTCATAAAGATCACGTTTCTGCCGTGTAATAATGAATTTTCTTTAAATATTTACTGTATTTGGTAATTCTGCAAATCGTCATACTAACGTTTTCATCATCCGTTCTACAGGATGGATATTGACTACTCACCAACTGGTCGAGAGTTTGTTACCGGATCTTACGATAGAACAGTTAGTCATATCTTAGACTTCATTACAATCTTGTCGTTTGTTCTTGTTGAGTTAGTTGCATCTATTAACTGTTTCTCATTTGTAGGTGAGAATCTTCCCTAATACTGCTGGTCACAGCCGAGAGATTTATCATACTAAAAGAATGCAAAGAGTATTCTGTGTCAAGTTCAGCGGTGATGGAAGTTACGTAATTTCGGGAAGTGACGATACTAACCTCAGGCTTTGGAAGGCCAAAGCTTCGGAACAACTTGGAGTAGTAAGTTGATTACGTTGTTGACTCACACACGCACACATATATATCTTCCCTTCTTTCTTTGAAAATCACTTGTGTATGATGATGCCAGATTCTCCCAAGAGAAAAGAAGAAGCATGAATATCACGAGGCGATAAAGAAACGCTACGGACATCTTCCTGAAGTTAACCGTATCTCAAGACATAGGCACTTACCAAGACCAGTATACAAAGCTGCTGCGTTGATGCGTGATATGGCGACTGCTAAGAAAAGAAAGGATGACAGGAGGAAAGCTCACAGTGCTCCGGGGAGTGTTACAACAAAGCCGTTACGCCTTAAAAGAATTGTCAAAGAAGTTGAGTGAGATTTTTCGGAGGCAATGCATGCTGAAAAAAGCAATACATATTTATGAAATGGCAAGAGTTTGTATACTGATTTTTCATAGGCAGATGGATATGCAGCAGCATTGGTGAAAATCAATTGCTAGTTTTGTGATGCAAGAAAAATTTTGGTGTATTATTATTGAGTTCAATGTACTTGATATTTTTCAGTTCAAAGTAGTAAATGTGATGAAATATTGAAAAGAAATGTTCCAAGATGAATGATCTATCTTTAAATCTTTGTATAAATATATGATTAGGAAGTATGACTTTTTAGAACCCCGTCTAGTTGACTCCACTTCAACTATGCTGTTGTTATAGCCTAGATTGTCAGAGTCGAGATTCTATCCGAGTTTGGTGACTGGTTTTGTTCTTATAGATTTGTAAACTCGAACAAGTTGACTTGCTGCTAGTCTGAAAATAATGGCCATAACTGTGGCGTTTGCTATCAACAAAGGTTTCAACATTTTTTTCTTTTTCATTTTTCTATAAATTTAATCAATGAGGTGAGGAAGATGAAACTTTTTTTCTCTTCCATTTTTTCTATAAATTTAATCAATGATGTAGGTGTCATATATAAAATTTTGACCTAAGATTCCATTTTCATTTGCATCAAGGTTACAAGATATTGGTTTTTAATCCGTTCACCTTCGAGTATTGTTTATGTAGAGATTATCAATTGTTGTGAACATTTTATTTTATACATCACTAACTTCTAATCCCGTACAAAGGTGTATGTTTGCGTTTCTTTGGTTTCATGTGTAGAGACAGGTCTAAATCAAGAGCGTTAGGTGTTGCGCCTCAATTAAGGTTTTGGATTCCTCAAGTATTCAAGTATGGTGAATCACCAATTCTCAAAGACTACTTCATCAAAGTTTAGCCCTTAACCAAAAGTACAATCAAGATTTCATCATCACTGGTCCATATGTGCATTAATATGTACGGGAATGCAAGGAAAGATCAAATTTGCAAGTCAATTCAAAGCACTTCGATCAAAAGTCAACTTTTACAAGATCAAGTTCAAACGATCATAACTTCTTCATTATTCAATATTTTTTAATGATTATTTTTGCATATGACTCTCCTTGACGTTAGGCATGGCAAAAAAACCCAGACCCGCTGGGCCCCGCCCGGCCCGGCCCCGAAATTAACGGGGAAAACCCGGCTAAAACGGGTACGGGGGCGGGGGCGGGTAAAACCCGGTTTCTAACTACGGGTGCGGGGGCGGGGGCGGTAAGACACTGAGACCCGCCCGCACCCGCACCCGCCCCGCCCCGAATAATCCAATTACTATAATAACCTTGTTTTAATTATTTTTATGTTACTTTTATTTTCCCAGCTTCTTAGATGTTGCTACTTCTATTTCCAACTCCCGCCTCGAAGATGAAGATTATTAGAAAATTTGTTGTTTATTTGGATCTTTTTTTGTTATGATGATATCGTATATTTTGTTCCATGTTGTTGGAATGGTTATTTTGTTCCATGTTGTTGGAATGGTTCTTTTGTTGATTGTATTGTTTTAATTTTGTATTTGTACTTTGCAAAAAAATTGTTGGTTGTTGGGAGTGATTTATACTTTGATATATTGAAAGATTACACTCTTTTAATGAATCACAAGTTCACAACCAATTATAGTTGATTGAAGGGTTATGATAGAAAAATATTTGGAATGGTGTTTGAATATTAAATCCTACAATTATTTACTCAAATCAATGGCGAATTTTGTATTTTTAATGTATTTGTTAATGCTGTCCAGGAAATTTGTGAAAAAAATAGATATTTTTTTATTTAAAAAAAACAGTTTTCGCGGGTGGGGGCGGGTGCGGGTGCGGGTGACCCGTTCTCCATTGGGGGCGGGTCTGGGGGTGAATTTCCATCCCCCGGCGGGTTTGGGGGCGGGGGCGGGTCTATTACTGGAGTTGCGGGTGCGGATGCGGGGTTAGCTAAACCCGCCCCCCGACCCGCTCCGTTGCCATCCCTACTTGACGTCATCTCCAACTTCTCTTTACAAGTCAATAACTGATTATGTGCGGAGGATCATCGAAAGTTCGAATATTTTAGAGGTCATTCTGTGGAATTTGACCTAATATCAAAATAGTTGTGTCCAACTTCCACGGATCATAACTTCCTCGATTTTTAATATTTTGAGGCGGTTCTTTTTGCATGCTGTCACAGTTGATGTCATCTACAAGTGTTCATCAAGAATCAAAGTCAAGTTGTGCTTAGAAAGACGTGAAACTTATTGAAACATTATTGTTCATTGTTTTTGATTTAGAATGTGCTTAACTTCTAAATTCAATTCATGCCATAATTGTTTTCTCAAAGATGTTCATTCTTATGTTTAGATCATCATGATACAAGATGTTCATTTTTATTTGTTTAGATTTAAGTTAATAATTTTTAGAGTTTTAATCTAGTTTAGATTTAACTTAATAACCTTAGAATTTCAATTTAGTTTAGAGTTAATTTTTTGTTTTAGTTATATCTCTTTATCTTTATTTTTTCTCGGTCGTTTCATATTTCTCATCATTCACTTGTCATAAATTTTTGTTTATATTTATTTCTTTGTGATTTCCCTTTTATATGTTAGTAAATATTGTGATATTTTCGATTTAGTTCATTTTAATTTTTATAGCTTATTTTATTGCTCGTTTGTCTAAATTTAAGGGACAAAATTGTCTCGTTGACTTCGCGTCATTGTATGTGTCTTTTGCGTGCTCATATGATTTACTTGTCTATTTTAATTGTTCTCTTTAGTTAAATCCCAAAGCCCTAGATTTCAAACTTACATCTCTTTTATAGAAACTTTGACATTAGATCATTGCATTTTCAAATTTCTTTCCTTTAATAAAACATTTCAAAACACTTAAGCATATCATAATCTTTTTATAAAACAATAAAAAAAAAATTCTCTTCTCATCCTCGTACTCATTTAGCAAGCAAATCAATTTTAACCAAAAAACAGATATTTCAAAAGGTTCTTATAGGATACTATAGATACATATAATGCTAGTATCTTTCTTTTGTATAACCAAACTCTAAACTTTCGATCTCTTCAAAATGCATTGTATTTTCCTTTACTTTTAGTATTGCACTTACTTTACATATTTATGAGTTTTATTTCGTACTTTTTCCTTTTTTCTTAGAAATAATAAAGTGCGGTGGCGACTCTTGTTTATTTGTGAGTCAAATTAATCAATAACTTGATCTCTGCTTTTCACAACTACAATAAAATGATGAATCGTAACTCAAACTATAGATTTTGGGGAAGATGTGCAAGGATAAGTTTACATAATATTATAAATAAAAAAATTAAGTACTAAAATAAATATTGAGTAAAAGATGAATAATAAAAAAAAAAACAAGATTTCACAATATTAGAACAAGATCTATCCGATCTATCCAATCTCCTCATAAACCATTTTGAGAACAGTTTGTACAAAATTAATGTCTCTGAATTCAGGAAATTGAAGTAATTATTTGAGGGGCCACTATGAATGAAGTATCTCTTTCTTTATGTCTGTCCGTTAAAAGAAATATAAAATCTCAAACACTCATCACATTACCTAGCTAGCTGTCTTGTTTCTCATGCTGTTGCTTTTCTTGATGTCATTTTTGGATGTTGATTTTTTGCTCAATTTGTACTTCATCATTCTTACAATTTTCAAGAACCAGAATGTACTTACAAGCAGCAAACCCAATCCCATTGCCTATAAAAATCAATTTTTCATAAATAATATTCTTGCAATGAAATAAAAAAAATACAAAATTACTAGTACTAATTATTATTATACCTTTATGAGTAATGGATTATTGGAAGTTATTGTTATGTAAGTGATACATGGTCCAATCATCATCCTAGCAAATGTAAATATTGAAGCAAATAGAATCTGCACAATTTTCATACATATTAGTTAGCAAAATTCATCCATTTTATATATATATATATATATATATATATATATATATATATATATATATATATATATATATATATATATATATATATATATATATATATATATATATATATATATATATATATATATATATATATATAAAAGACCGATGAATCAAATATATATAAATCAGATATATCAATTATTCAATAAATCATAATTAAAAAACTTTTTTACTTACATCAGCAGTCAAATTAAGGGCAGTGTCCTTATAACCAAGTTCCTTTAAAAGTTCTCTCAAATGTAAAAATGGGCTTGACATTTCTGTTACCCAAACTGCCCCTACCATCTCTGAGCCACACTGTTTTCAGTAACATATATGGCAAAATGTTAGAGAATTTTTTAATGTCTTATAAGTGTTTTTTAAGCATCATAGTGAAATTCTAAAAATATCATTGTAAAATTCTAAAAATATCATTGTAAAATTCATTTTATTTTTATAATAAAATTGATTTCAAAAATACATTTCTAATATAAATCGAAAATGTATTTCCTATTTATAATAAACAAGGATACCTTTATCCAAAAATCTATATGCAAAAACAAGAAAACTGGAAAAACATTTATAAAATATAAAACAAAGATAAATCATCCAAAACGTACAATAGATAAATATATATATATAAAAAAAACATGGTTTCTCCGTAAAAAGTAATTTTTAAAAAAAAGGATGCATCTCGAAAATAAACATATTTTCAGAGGTATTTTTGATTTTTTATAAAATGTTTTTTCCCGTATAGAGTGGCCTAAGAAATTGTCAAATGTTAGTAGAAGTTTATTAAATAATCTCCGATCCATCAATGAACACTAAAAATTAATTTAATTACCTTTTGATAGCAGAGACCAGCTACGAGTCCAACAATGCTTACCAAATGATGGACAGTATTATCCAAATTGGTTTTTTTGTCGAATAAACAACAAACTAGATCGTAAATCATATATGAAAGACTCACCGCAAGAACTTGCATCTGAAAAAACAAAATTCAAAACCGATGATAATTTAATAAAATAAAATTAGGTAAACATAAAAATAGAAGGTAAAAGAAATTGCATGTGTACCTGTTTGTGGGAAGAAGTTGCTGCCATAGGACAAAGTGGACATTTCCAATCTTGGACCGATAAAGTAGTTAACGTTACCGCTAGAATTGCATGAATTGTAGAAACAATTCTGTTGCAGAAATCAAATGAACGTTTTCGAAACATTTTTCTCACTACAAGAAATGTTGTTGCCCATGAAAAAACTCCAACAACAATTAACTTTGTAAAGTACTCTTCCATTTCTCTATGCTATGAACTGAAAAAATAAGCAATTAAATTTCAGCAAATTGATAGAACATATATAAATTTGAATTTGAGAGAGAGAGATAGAGAGAGTACTATTTACAATTATGATGAATGTACTATTTCCCTAAGTTTAGAAAATGTTAGTAACATATATAGAAGAGAGAAAGTTTTTTCAATTATAATATATTATGACAAAAAAAGAGAGGAGTAATAATAAACAAATTAATATAGTAATGCATGGAAAGATTGTAACCAATGGTGTTGTAGACAAAAGCAGAGAAATGTAATTGTCATTCAATAATGACACATCTACCACGTTAGTGATAGGTGTCCTATTCTCCAAAGACAGCAACATTAATTGTACTATTAAGAACTTTTTAAGAAATTAACTAATTTAGTACTTAAGCTATGAGAAACAAAACTATTTGAAAATTATTGATTAATTTAATCTTCATTAAATTATATCATTTTCTTAAATTATTAACGATAATAACGGATCAATATTGTGACTATGGTACATATCAATGAGGAAAGTCGATGAGAAGGACATGAAGGGTAGGTATGAGATAGAAAATGAAATATAACTAAGTTTCTCTACATTGAAATTTATTTTAGACCTACCATGAAGGTCCTACAAGTTTTAAACAAAACTGGACTTACCATTATGTATGTTTAACAGTTTTTACTTGTAGCCTTCAATTTTGGTGAGATTGTGTAGGAAAATAATCCCCACACACTACACCAAATAAAACAACTAGGGGACACATTAATTTGAATGAACAAATGATAGTCATTTATTTAAGTACAAAAAAAAAAAAACTTATACATTTAAAATAACTCTTAGAGAAAATGATTCAAAACTATTCACACAATTGATTTGAATAAAAACGTGAACACAAATGGAATCAATACTGCAAGATTATAAGAGTGAGATGTGATATCTCCACTCAAAACTTTAAAATATCAAATTCATAAATCATCTTTCTTATAGATCAAATATTCTACATTCATTTTATATTTTTAACATCACGAAATTATTTATTTCATTCTTTGAAAGTAATATAGCCTTCCCATAAGTCATGTATTTAATTTTAACAATTTATAATTTGTTGGGAAGTTCACACTTTTGTTGTTATTATTTGTTTTTAATTTCAAATTAATCAAAATCACTACGAATAAGGAAATCCCAATCATAAAAAACATGGGTTTTATCTGTTGAATGATTAGAATAAGTCAAATGCAGTGTAATTGGTTTTGAAGTGTTTTTGGAGAATAGCTTATTTGAGAAGCTATTTTGGAAAAGCTGCCAGTATGCTGCAGGAAAAACCGAAAAAATTATTTCTGTTTTTAGGCTGTTTTGTTTAGCTTTTGTTTTGTTACTTTGTTTAGTGTTAGCAGGCACTATATATACATTTTGTAACATGTTGAATGGAATTAATGCCATATGATTTTTTACCCTCTCAATTAATCTCTATTCTCTCTAAACTTGATCTTCCCCAATCCTCTAATTTCACCAAAATTATCCATCATCTCCATTGATTCACATACAAGGTTTTGTGCTTGTTCTAACATTTGGCATCAAGAGCATTGGTTATTGATCCCAATCCGCTGCAACACCAACAATGGCTACCGTTTCCAATGATCGAATTCCCACCAATCTCCCAATTCTTGATTCGAAGAACTACGACAAATGGGCGAAACAAATGAAGGTTCTGTTTGGTTATCAAGAGGTTCTTGAGATCGTCATCAATGGAGTTACACCATTAGGGGCTGATGCTACCGATGCTCGTAGGGCTACACACAAGGAAGAAAAGAAAAAGGATTACAAAGCCCTATTCTTGATTCACTCTTGTGTTGATAACGACAATTTCGAGAAGGTTGGTGATTGTGAATCCGCGAAGCAAGCATGGGAAATCTTGGAGAAAGCGTATGCCGGTGCCGTCAAAGCGAAGGTGGTAAGGTTACAAACTTACAAACGTCAATTCGAGTTTACGCAAATGGAGGACAAAGAAACGATCAACAATTACATAACGCGCATTACCCGGTTAGTCAACCAAATCAAGTCATGTGGCGAAACGATCCTTGAGCAGAATGTTGTATCGAAAGTGTTGCGTTCGTTAACATCACGTTTCGATAACATTGTTGTGGCTATTGAGGAGTCAAAGGATCTAACAACTTTGAGTAAAGATGAGTTGCAAAGTTCGTTAGAGGCGCATGAACAAAGGATGGATGAGAGAAGTGCCGACAAAGCCAAAGCGGAGATCGCTTTGCAAGCGCGTTTACATGAGAAGAACAAGAGATCGAAAGGGAAGTGGACTTCAAAAAATAAGAAGAATTTTGGTGGAAAAGATCCACAAAATTCAAAGGGTGAAGGAAGCTCCAAAGATGGTAATCAAAGCGCCCACAAACCGTTTGACAAAAGTTCTGTGAAGTGTTATAATTGTCAAAAGCTTGGGCATTTTGCGAAAGAATGTCGCTCAAAACGCAAGGAAAAGGATGCGGATGAGGCGAAGGTTGCTAGGGAAGAGGTAGATGATGAATATACCCTTCTTGTGATGATTACGGAAGAGAATTATGGCATTGTTGATGTTCCGGGCAGCAGCTACTGTGATGATAGTGTGTGGGACAGCAGCTGTACTGTTTTGGAAAGTGGCGAAAAAATGTGTTCGGATCGAAATGCATTAGTTACCGTGCGTGAGGGAGTCCAAATTAAAGATGAATGGTACTTGGATTCCGGTTGTTCAACACATATGACGGGTCGAAAGGATTGGTTTGTGCAAATCAATCAAGCGACAAAGAGTAAAGTCAAGTTTGCCGACGACACTACTTTAAGCGCCGAAGGGGTAGGAGATGTTTTGATCGGAAGGAAGAATGGAGGACAGTCGAGGATCAAAGATGTCTTGTACATACCGGGAATTAAGTGCAATCTTTTAAGCATTGGCCAATTGCTTGAAAGAGGGTACTTAATTCGATTGGAGAATAAGATGTTACGCGTTTTAGATTCAAATGGTGTGTTGATTCTAAAAGCACCGATGGCTGCCAACAGAACTTTTAAGGTTGAGTTAAAGGTTATGGAGCATCGTTGTTTAGCTACCGCAGCAAGTAGAGAGGAGTGGCTATGGCATTACCGTCTTGGTCACCTTAACTTTAGGGATCTTAAGATGTTGCAACAAAGTGGAATGGTAACGGGGCTGCCACATATTAGTGTTCCGACAAAATTGTGTGAGGAATGTGTCACATCTAAGCAACACAAGAAGGTGTTTAGCAAGGATGCGGGTCGGAGAGCCAAAGACTTACTTGAGGTGGTGTATTCCGATGTTTGTGGACCAATGCAAGTAGAGACATATGGCGGCAATCGATATTTTGTTACGTTTATTGACGATTTTAGTAGGAAGCTTTGGACTTATCTTATCAAGAGAAAGGATGAGGTATTTGGAGTGTTCAAGAGTTTCAAATCCATGGTGGAGCGTCAAAGCGGCCGGAAGCTCAAAATTCTCAAAACGGATGGTGGAGGTGAATATACCTCTAGTGAATTTGGGAAGTTTTGTGATCTTGAGGGTATTGTGCGTGAGGTGGTGCCTCCATATACGCCTCAACAAAACGGGGCTGCCGAGAGGAAAAATCGTACAATAATGAACATGGTGCGTAGCATGCTTTGTGGGAAGAAGTTACCTAAAGAATTGTGGGGTGAGGCCGTATCTACAGCCACCTACTTGTTGAATAGGTGTCCTACTAAGAAGCTGGAGAAAATCACACCGGAAGAGGTTTGGAGTGGTTTCAAACCGAGTGTGGTTCATTTGCGTGTTTTTGGATCGATTGCATATCGTCATGTACCAAATCAACTTAGAAAGAAGTTGGATGATAAAGGTGAGAAGTTGATATTTGTTGGATATCACTCTACTGGTGGTTACAAGCTGTTTGATGAGAAGAATCGGAAGATCGTGATAAGCCGGGACGTGACTTTTGATGAAATCAAAAGTGCAGAAACAGTAGCAGAAAATCAGCAGCAACAGTTTTTTGAAATCTCTGATCCGGAGTTGTCTGATGCCGCTGTACCAGCACCTACAGCAGCTGAAAACAATGTTGTGAATGAGGGTAGACCAACAAGGCATAGAGGTATGCCTCAAAGACTCCGAGATTGTGAACTGTTCCGAGATAGTGAGATCAACAATGATGGTGATCTTATTCATTTCGCTTTAATGGCCGAATCCGAACCGGTAAATACGGAGGAGGCATTAAGCGACCCAAAATGGATGTGTGCAATGAAGGAAGAGTTGAAATCGATTGAGAAGAACAATACTTGGGTGTTGGTTGATTTACCGAAAGGTAAAAAGGCGATTGGTGTGAAATGGGTTTACAAAGTAAAAGCAAATCCGAAAGGCGAGATAATCAAGCATAAGGCTCGATTGGTAGCAAAGGGATTTTTGCAAAAAGAAGGCATAGACTTTGATGAGGTATTCGCACCGGTTGCAAGGCATGAAACCATCCGGTTAGTTGTTGCGATTGCAAATAACAACAGCTGGTCGTTATATCAAATGGACGTCAAATCGGCGTTTTTGAATGGTCCATTGGATGAGGAAGTGTATGTTGGACAGCCACCTGGTTTTGTGATACAAAATCAAGAGGAAAGGGTCTACAAATTAAGGAAGGCACTCCATGGTTTGAAACAAGCTCCAAGAGCTTGGAACAAACGCATAGATGTTTTTCTTATCAACATTGGTTTCAAGAAGTGCGTATCCGAACACGGTGTGTATGTGAAGTCGGATAAAAGCAAAGGAGTAATCATACTTTGTCTTTATGTGGACGATTTGTTGATTACGGGTAGTTGTGAAAAGTACATTTCAAAGTTCAAAGAAGAGCTTATGGGGGAGTTTGAAATGAGTGATCTTGGCTCTATGAAATACTTCTTAGGCATAGAGTTCCAAAAAACAAAGTTGGGACTGCTCATGCATCAAAGAAGGTATGCAATGGAGATTTTGAAGAGGTGTGATATG